TGAGGTGGTTTGGGCACGTTCTCCTTCGTCCGCCCCACGAGCTTTGCTATGCAGCCTATCTGGAGGCGTCGAACAGGAGGGCAACTGAAGACTTGTCTCCACACCGTCCATCAAGACATGAAAGCAGTTCTCTGACTTTTTATCTTCAGTCTCCGTCGCTGGAGAAGGGACTGGGTAGAGCTTTCGAGATTCGCTGACGCCAATCTTCACGCATGAAGGGGTACCGTCCGTGACATCATTGAGGCCGGTTAGATTAGGCATGCTCACAGCCGTTACAAGTATAAGTAAGTGACCGCTGATTCACTCACCAAAGTCGGTTAGTAAACACAACTCTTGGAGTAACGTAAATAGTTCAGTCTCCTGCTAAACGTCATATTATCCTTTGAAGTCGCTTCCCCTTTTACTTTTATTCCGCAAGATTTGGCAGCCGGGCCCATCGAATGACGCCTACAGAACAAACATGCTGAAACGGAGAATTGCATCGGACACGCCTAAATCCTCCAACTTCACGTTTAATGGAAGAGCAGGTAAAAGGCACGCCAATGGATTTGCCGATTTCTGGACTCATAATCGAGTCTCCGGTCTTCTCATACCACGGACCGAAATTCCGGGCTCGGTATTTGGATGATACCTTGTCGTCATCGAACTGGATCAGGTACTGGACTTCAAAGAACGTCTCAATGTCGTCCTCCTGGATATGCAATTCAAGAAGAAGGAGGAAGAAAAGCCAACTAGTCTTCACTGAAGTTTTGTTCTGCAGCAAAGATTGTAGTGGCCTAAAAAGTAAAGCAGTTAGGAAAGCGACAACTATGGCGCAAGTAGTGAGCCTCAACAGCAAACACCCAACCACTCCCAAATGCTTACTTTCAACGATGATACCCATGTAAGCGTTCAGTAAGTAAAGTTTAGCGAACGTATGTTTTCGATTATTCGTCATCAGGCAATAAAAAAATATAAGGGGAGGTAGAGTGACAAACAGTTAAGCGTTCACTCACCTTGAATTTTCGAGGGGCATTCAGCAAGCGAACTTCTACATCTTCACTTGAACACTCCAATCGCGGGCATTTATCCAGTTGCGAAGATTAGATAAGTCTTTTCAAGCACTCCACTTCTTCGCCTTGAAGGCAAGGATAGCCTCCCGTTTCAGACCTCTTCGGTATACATCTACGCCCTAACTTGTTCCTGTTGGGCAGGGTATATTGGTCGAACAATTAGGCGTCTGTCCAAGCGGACGCGAGAATACCATATATAGCGTGATTTTGGCTCACTTGATTGACAGCGGTCACCAGGTCGACGTTAACCAAGCCTTCCGAGTCATTTATAAAGTGTCGACGAAACACTCCAATTTCATGCGTCAGCGAGTTCTTGTGACACCGAAGTCAGTCGCTATCCGGCTAGATAATCCAATTTTTGCGAGCAGAAGGCGTTTATACGGGTACCAAGGCTCCCTTGGCCGTTGATAGACTCAGCGTGTGTCCTCACATCCCCTAACACGTCACGAGACATCGAAGACGCAGCGACATGAACTAATTGTCGGATTCCTCCCCCGTTCTAGCTCCTTTATATAGCTAAACTAGAATCTGACCCCTTGATCTCTGAACGTCTTCTCCCCCCTTACTTACGGTCGATTGGATGCTTAAACTTTTGTCCGTCTACCCTTCCTTATATTATTGCAATTGCCTGATAACGAGTAATCGAAAACATTCGTTCGCCAAACTAGACTTCTTGAATACTTACAAAAACAGTTGTGTAAGGATGCCTCATCGGCATGTTGTGACTAACTGCAGCGAACCAGAAGACAATGCTGCCGCCTCGACGGCTGCTTATACTAAATGGTTACGCGCGCAACGTTGTCCACAGGTGTAGGTGCAAGCAAGGCGAGGGACCGAATCGCACCAGTCTAAAATATCAAATGAAAAAGCGACGAAGGACAAAAGTCAAGCGTCCTCAAGATTTGGCGGGACTCTCAGAAGGCGTTAGCCGCCTTCTCACACCACTCGGACTTGGAGTTGTACTAAGGCTGGATGTAGCCATCAGGTGCCAGGTAATGAGGCTGAAAGCCCAACTGCGACGACAGGCAGTGTCTGCAGTTGTTTGCCGCATCTGAAGCAACTGCAGAAAAAGTAAATACGCCAGAGCAACTGGGAGA